GGGAGCCCGATGTGGGACTCGATCCCAGGACCCTGGGATCATGACCTGAGCCGAAGGCAGACGCTTAACCATCTGAGCCACCCAGGTGCCCAAAAATAAAATCTTTAAGAAGCACAAACTTTCAGTCATGAAATAAGTAACAGAGATAAAAAGTACAGCATAGGGAATATAGTTAATAATATAGTAACGTGTGGTTATAGGTAGTGACCATACTTACCATGGTGAATACTGAGTGATGTATATAATTGTTGAATCGCTGTGTTGTACATATAAAACTAATAAAACATTGTATGTCAACTATACTTCAATAATAATAAAGACAAGTTCATAAAAATTAATAAAATGATGTATTTTTTAAAAAGTCAATTTTGGATTAAAATTCTTCTTTTATGTTTTATTTTTTTTTTAAAGATTTTATTTGAGAGAGAAAGAGAGGATGAAGGGGGGAGGGTCAGAGGGAGAAGCAGATTCCCCACTGAGCAGGGAGCCCGATGCGGGGCTCAATCCTGGGACTCCAGGATCATGACCTGAGCCGAAGGCAGACGCTTAACCAACTGAGACACCCAGGTGCCCCTTCTTTTATGCTTTAAGATAGCTTAGTTCTGGGGTGCCTGGGTGGCGCAGTTGGTTAAGTGTCCAACTCTTGATTTTGGCTCAGGTCTTGATCTCAGGGTCGTGAGTTCAAGCCGTGTGGAGCCCACTTAAAAACAAATAAATAAGATAAAATAGGTTAGTTCTTAAAATGCTTGAAAATTTGTACTTTTTCTGCCTGATCTTGTATTTTAAAAAGGTATATCTTTTTTTTATTGATTATCTATCTGATTATAAAAATTTCACATTGAAAAAATATGTAATCTAAAAAGTGAGAGTCCATTATAATGTCTCATTTCTACCTCCCAAGTTAATCAGTCATGTAGTTATTTTGAGTATATCCACCCAGCCTTTTATGTATAGATACTTATTTATATAAATAATGTGTGGGTATTTTCATTGTTTTCCAAAAATGGCGTTATAACTTGCCTTCTCATTTTTTCACTTAACATAATATTGTGAACATATTTTTGGATCAGCATATACAGATTTATCTTCTAAATGGCTCTGGACTGTTCCATTATAAACAAGTTATAATTTATTCAGTACCCTACGATAGGTTTGTCTTGTTCCCAGTGTTTTGATTGTTCTTGCTTTTTTGGGGAGCTATTAAATGGGTATAATAAATATCTTTGTATGTACTTTTCCATATACTTGAGTATTTTTGTAAGATACATTTCTAGAAGTAAATTTGCTGAGAATTAAAATTTTTGGTAGATACCGTTCTGTTGTCCTCTACAGAGACTTTACCAATTTATTTTGCTGATAGTGTATGAAAGTTCCTGTTTCCCTATACTTTTATCAACCCTCGGTGAAATTTTTCTTATTTGCCTTTTAGGGTGTGGCTTCCCTAATGACATCAAGAGAAAAAGACACATCAGGTCACAGGGAGGAGGAGTCTGTAATATTACCATGTATACAGACTGAAAAGGACCTTTCACCTTCGAGTTCTTGTGATCCTAAAGAGATGTCTCAGCCTACACAGGCCCAGGAAAAGGAATTAGTTGTTTCTACGGGGTAAACAGTGATACTTCTTTGAAAATATAAAATATATTTATAT